ATATATTTAAAAATACACGCCCACTTTAGGAAAGGTGTACAATTCATGATATGTCAGTGGAATTTTCCATAAGGCACAAAGCGATGATAAATAACATAGTGAGGGCAAATAAGCATGAAAGTTTTTTGGGTTTTGTTTATGTAGATCCTGAGCTGGAATATCTACAAACTTAAATACCCTTGGTTTGTCTTTGTTTTGTTGTTGGTTATTCAGCTCCTACTCTTTCTAGCTTTAATCCTTAACTTCTTCAGCCTTGTTGGAATGGCACAAAGATAGCTTTTCAAATCCACACTACCACTTAGACAAATTATGCCTTTAGCTGTTAGGGTCCTTGAGGGCCATTTGTTCTACGTTCTAGTGTATTGTGCTTGACAACAATGAACATTCTCCACCTTGGTGCAAAGAATACAGGCTTACTACTTTAATCCTCTTTGCAAAACAGTAATAATAACAACAACAACAACAAGGCCTCCATGCAGAGCACGTTCAGCCTAATTCAGACTTTTAAAAAACTAGAAAACAAATCATAAATACTTGAGAAATGAGATTCATAATGAAAACCCCAAGAAGCCCTTTAACCTGGGCAAAATCCTATAACACAATTATATACAATTTCACACTTGACTGGAACTGTTATTTGAGCAAAATAACCATTTTTCTGCTTGCACTAAATGAACCACAAGATCCTTGTATTCAGCTGCAGAAAAATGTAGGATTGGCCATTCAGTCTGCATATAATCAGCAAACTCAATGGCAAGGGCATTGTAGGATCAAAAGAGTTAATAATTGGATCCTGCCCACAGCAACCACACAATTAAGGGCCAAGATTAGCAGAGATGGAAAATTTATTGTGAAAACGCAATGATAGTCAGAAAACCAAAACGATTGCACCGGGCAGTTGTTCTGTTGCCATAATCCTAATGATCAACTCTATTACACTAATAGTAGGAGAAAAACTAATTGCAGAGAGGACAGGACAAATCTTTTTTAATCTGCATTGTCATCCCAACGAAGTCTCAACCCATTTGTATTAACCTTTGCTGACAGAGTCACATGATGGACATAATTTCTTATAATTTACCAGCTATGGAGCTAACCTTTCTTCATCAAATATTCATAAAGGCAGGATTCTCAATGATTTTCTGTCTCTCTTCATATTTACAGCTTGTTGTCTTCTTCCTTTTTACAGTAATTTGGACACAATTGAAGTCAAATGGAATTAAAGTTAAATGCCTTTAGCAACAGAGGTGCCTAAAAGCAAAGACTTAGGGGAGGGGTCGTGAACTGAAGGGGAAAAGTGTATATTCCCGAGCCCCTCAGCATCCCCAAGGATTTCTCTAGCTTGCCCTTCCTGAGAAGAGAAAAATAAAATCAGCCAGAGAATGAAATACATTTATTGCTTTCTTCTGGCCCCAGTAAGAATGCATTCAGTCCTATTTTGCTGGGTGATCTGAGACTCTTAAGCCCCAGGCCTTCCCCTGTCTTCAGGGCTTGCCCAGAACTTAGGCCACAGTGACCCGGCCCTGTTTGAGCATTTTGTGCCCAGAGGGGCCCAAGAAACGTGCCAAGGGCAGAATGGTGGACAAGAGAAGTTGGTTGGTACAGTTACTTAGAAAAAAAATGTGAATATCTGAAACCATTCCTGAGAGCATTTTTGGTAGGAAAACATCTGTTTCCACTTTGTATCCCTGTTGCTTTGACAAGTTTTCTTAACAGGCATGTAGACAGAAGAGGGGGCAGGGAGCCTTCTAAAGTTAAGGTGTTTAAACTGAGTCCTGGTCCTTTATTTTCACTTTTCTCCTGCAAGGCCTCAGTTTCATCTTGATGGCAGAAATGTGGGGATAGTGAGAAAAACCATCAAAAGAACTCTCTTACTGTCTATGCTAATCCTCCAATGGATTAATCCTTTGTTAAAACAGCAAAGAATGTGTTGTAGATAAATTCTCCCTTAAGATACAAGGGAATTGTTTTACCTAGTTGACTTCAAAGCCTTTTATTGACCATGCTAAGAACTAATTTACTTGTTGAGTTCCCAGAAGTTTTGATTGGTTGAGAGGAAATTAGAACTCAAGTCAGTTATAATCTTCAACAACTGGTGTGCATTCCCAGCTAAGGAGTTCAGTTTTATTTGCCACCACTGTTAGCACCTCTCATCTATGTTCATTATACAAGTAACACACAAATGTATTCCCTTTATAAAATGTAAACCTTATAGAAAAGTCTCTTTGGCCATTCTTCCCAGTTTCAGACCTTCTCACCCTTCTGCATTTCTGCAGACACATACATAACCACAGGCAAATGTCTTATTTGTTCTACATAGAGGTTATTGTGACACTCAAATCAATACCTAAATTGCTGCCTGTTGCTTAGTAATACATCTTACATTTAGAAACCTTTCCCTCTTAGAACACTGAGAATCTACTACACTTCATTGTTTCTGAGAAGCCCATACTATAGATATACTGAAGATGGCTACCATTTTCTCAGTGGTGGACATTTAAGTTGCATCCAGATTTTCAAAGTATAAGCGTTTCTGTAAAGTATCAGAATCTATTTGAAACTGAGATAGTTCAGTATAATTGTCTTAACAGCATGCTGTCTGTCACAGATAGTTGTGAAAATGTTTATGATGACACAAAATACTTTTAAAAATGTTTTCTACCAAGCCACATTTCTTTTCTGATGGCAAGAACAAACACAATCACAAGATATTTAGTATCCTAGTGTCACCTGAAATAGGCATTCTAAGCATAACAGTGAACCAAATAAAAATTGATGGCCTAATATCAAATATACCTAAGTAAGACTCTTAGTAAAGGAAACCATCATTACAGAAAGTTAATTGTTATACAGATTTGGTTATTCAGATTGGCCTAAGACCTCTGAGCTACACTTGCATATTGGGAAAGCAAAAGCCTTTGTGATAGCATGCTCCCACATAATAGTGAGTTTTTCATTGGCTTCCTTTGACGACACCCATATCATAGAGATCTGTTTCCCCCACCCCTTAGAAATTCAACAGGAGAGGATAGGGTGAGTGTTTTTTTCTTAAAGGACTAGAAGATTTTTGCTAGAACTTTGCAACACTGGAGCCCATGAAAAGTTTTTCATTAAGGTCTCAGATTCTGTCATTAGAATCCTCATACATGACTGGTGGGAATATAAATTAGAGAAATACCTATGGAAAACAATTTGTGGTGGTTCCTCAAATAATCAAACATGGCATTCTATATGACTTAAAATTTCTACTTCTAGATGTACACAAAATGATTGAAATCTGGGACTCAAACAGGTATGTGTATATCAGTGTTTGTTGCTTCGTGAGCTAAAAGGTGATAGTAGTCTGTCAACAGATTAACAGCTAATCAAGATGTGCAGTATAAATGTCACAGAATATTACTCAGCCATTACAATACCTACTATAACATGAATGGACCTTGAAAATGCTATGCTAAGTGAAAAGAACTGATACACGAACCGATTCCATTTATATGAAATACCTGAAACAGGCAGGTTCATAGAGATTAAAAAATAGGTTGCCAGGAATTGCATGAGAGGGAAGTAAGAAGCTATTCCTTAATGAGGACAGAAATAGATGGTGATGATTGTGCAACAGAAATGCAATTAATACCACTGAATTGCTTATATACAATGATTTAGGTGGCATATTTTGGTATATATGTTTGATCACAAAGGAAAAAGCTCTTGCAATCATAAACAGAATTTAAACATATCATGGAAAGTTACAAAGGCAGCCAACAAACAGCTACCAGGACTGAAAACACTGTTTTAGTTATCCATTGGCACACAGTAAATCACATGAAAACCAGTGACTTAAGACACTCACACCTTCTTATTTCTCATGTAGAGTCTGGTCTTCTGTGGGTCGGCCAGGACTCAACCTTACAAGGGTTCTTGTGCTGAGCCACAGGGGTCTTACCTGTGACTATAGTCAAATAGCTTCTGGGGCACAGGTCCTGGTTCACCTATGGTTCTGGTATATCTGGGTCTCTCCCCTCCACAGACAGTTTCTACAGTCTCAGAATATCCAGTCATTATGGTCATTATGGTGACTCAAGACTCTGAAGAGCACCAAAGCAGAAATTGCCATACTTTCAGGAAATTAGGTTGGTGTCACCTCAGCTATAATTGGTTATAAAGAGCAAGTCACAGAGAAAGCCAACGCAGACTCAGTGTAGGAGTGAGTACAGGCAGCACAGTCTATGGGGGACAGGTTTGGAGGCCAGCTACCATGTACACCACATGCATATGTATGGTGTAAATATGGGTTAAATCTCCAGATAACACTTCAGAGAACTAACATCGTATCTGAAGCTGATAAACCAAGGAGCAGCAGTGTATACATGCCATTTGACACAGAAGTAACCTCCATGAGTCACAGATGGGGTGGAATTGCTCTATGGGCTTGGGTGAGACAGTATTACATTTTCATTATGAACCCTTTAATATCATTAGATTTAAAATTGTGAGTAGAAGGTCCAGAGTTTAGTCCCCAGTACTGGAAAAACAACAACAACAGCAAACTATTTATGTGGAACATTTCAATAACATGGCTAGTGGTTTGGCGTATAGGCTCTGGAGCCACACTGCCTGGGGTTATATTTTAGCCACACCACTCAGGAGCTCTGTTACCTTGAGCAAATCCCCTAACCATTCGGTGCCTCAGTGTCTTCATCTGTAAGATGGGGTCATCAGCATACCAACCACATGGAGTGGTTAGGATTGCATGGGAAAACACGTAACTTGGTAGATGGTGCAAAGAATTACAACATTTGAAAAAGCAAACGCAAGCTTCCCATAGCAAACTTGATACCCTGAGACCTGGATCCTCATCTCCTGACTTTGTCACAAGTGTGTTGAGCAAGTCTATTAATGTCATCTTTAAACGGAGGGAGGAAGAGATCAGATTAGCTCCCAAAGACAGAAGTTCTATCAAATTTGAGGTCTGGAAGAGCAAGCCGTGGCTGTCAAAAAATTACCTTGCTGAAAAATGAGAATTCCCTTCTTGCCGAAGAGAGCTTCAGAGCCTCCGCAGTGGAACTGTCCCTTCTTCACTCTGACCACTTGAGAAATAACTCACACACTTAACTCGCTGCCTGCTCAAAGACCTTTCCTCCTGGGAACAAACTTTATAAATCATTTTAAAAGAGTTAGTGACCATAACTCCCAGATGCTTACATGAGGCCAACTGGAAAAGGACATTAACTTGGAGCCAATTAGATGCTCCTGGCGTGTGTATCTCTTGCCCTTCTGAACGAATCTCTCCCAGAAGGCTGTCCATGTGGTCGGCTCTCGTTGAGAATGGACAGAAGTTTACTTTTCTCCCCACCCCAGGGAACATAGCTCATTGTATGTTTTTCATCACCCTAGAAGCTGCACAGTCTAGCTGAAAAGTGACTTAAAAGTTACTGCATTTCTAAAAATACCTAGCCTTCTTTTTTTTCTTCCATACAATTGGAATAAAATAGTTCCGGGTACATTTTCTGGTCAGAGGCCAGAGTAAAAGCCATTTAGGGAGGGAGCGTCTGCAAAATGTGAGCCATCCACACCCTGGGCTTGTAACTTTCTGCCTGCTACCTTTGGGTACTGGGACCTCTTCAAGGCAATCTTGAGCCAGAAAAAGCAATTTAAATCAGGAGCAGTGAGTTTTCCCTAGGTTTTCAGTGTGAGCTAACTATCAGCCCAGCTGAGGAAGAAAGCATAATGGACCCTGGGTTTAACCATCTCAGCCAACTCCCCCGTGATCTCGCCTGCAGAATGGTCCTTCCAAAAGTGTAAATTCTAACTTAGCAGTCTGCAGAGAAGTCTGGCTCCTTGGCAGGCCAGGCACGGGGCAGGAGGTCACAGCAGCTAATCAAGTCCTCACTGTGCTGTCCTGACTCACCACTGAGCCCTGGCCCTTTCCCAGCTGACCCCACTCCTGTTCTGTTCAGTAAGGAGCAGAACTTGCCCATTAATCGGCCTGTTTTCAGGAACTGGAAAGGTGACTTGTAGCAGGCCTCTTGTTCCCAGGCTCCTCTATAATGACATTCTGCACAAGCAGATGTCGTCCTTTGATTCCTTATGACCTTCTGAATTTGGGCAAATGAGAGAGCACGTGGGATTCACCGTGAGGACCTAAGGGTGTCTTTCTGCAAAGAGTCGCTGTCATCCTCCACCCCACCCTACTTCACCCCACTGATACCAGACAATGTGGCAAGGACGTGGCCTCAGTCATTTGTTGAGTGGGGGGAAAAAACCTTCTTCCTGGAGCCAGGGTCTGTAAGGGGAGGTAGCCAAGGCCTCCACACTTCAGCATTTTCCAGACATGACTCGGGTCTCTGTGGTAGTGGCAGCTTGACAAATGAGAAAACAATGCTTCAGTACCCTTCCCAAGGTCACCCCACAAGCAAATGCTGGTGCTGGAGGATGAGGTCACCCCAGACAGTGGAAGAACTACACATCCAGGCTCAGGACTCTGAAATCAGGGACATGGCACCTGCCATTAGCCAGGGAACATAGTCTGTAAAAATAGATAATGGCTTTGGCTTGCTCCTTTCATCTCTGAGAGGCCCAGGTGGGAAAGTGGGGATTGTGGTGATGGATTAATTAATTCATCAGTTATGTGGAAGGTGGAAGACTACACTTCCACCCTCTAACCAGCATTGTACAGCCTGGCCTTTCTTTCCAGGGCTCCTGGGGGCACACTGGGCAGTGCTGGGGTCACCAGAGCACCCAAAAAAACAGCCTTCATTTGGGGGATTTTAGAATTCCTTTGTTTGTTCTTATGAGGTCGGATCTCAATATGTAGCCCAGGCTGGCCTTGAACTTTCCATCCTGCCTGTTTGGGGATTATAGAATGTAGTTTTGTTCCGTGGTTTTGTTATTTTTTTGAAATCATTCAGGTTTGAATTCAGGGTCCTGTGCTTGCTTAGGAAGGGGGCACTCTGTTTAAAACTCTCTCCAAGCCAAGTCATTTCAGGAAGAGATACAGGACTGCTCCTGAAGTTTGTTCAGCCCCCATGGCTTTTGGCAAAGAGGATCCCCTTCTTCCTCAGCCTGAAACCTCAGCACTGAAAAAGCAGATCGGTGTCCACTGAGTTGAGTTCTCGAGAGAGAGAGAGAGAGAGAGAGAGAGAGAGAGAGAGTGTGTGTGTGTGTGTGTGTGTGTGTGTGTTGTGTGTTGTGTGTTGTGTGTTGTGTGGACTGGGTACATAGCAGGGTTTCATGTCACCAACAGGACAATAAGGTTTAGAGCCATCTCTCTCCATCTCAGAGAGGCAAAGCATGTGAGCCACTGGCAAGACTTAAGGAAGACCCTGTGCCTTGTTATACCAAGTAATATCAAGTATATTGAGCAGAGAAGTTTCCTCTCATGAAACAGCCCAGTTCCTAAAGGAGGCTAGCGGAGGCCTTCTACAAAGTACTGGGACAAAGATCTTACTCCTGTGCTTCAATCCTTTCGGGAGTTTATGATCTTAGGGGAAATTTTTTTAAATAATAAAATGCCGTCTCCACACCATCTTTCAGTACCCTGGACTTCACTGCCTCCACCCTCTTCCTCCATGTCCTCCAGCAATGGTGGCCTCTTTCATCCTCTGAGCACACCTAAAGTTTGCTCACCTGAAACACTTCCCCTCGGCAAACACTCCACAGCTACCCTGACCAGAGCCCTCCTTCATCTCTCCACTCACTCTTCTACTTATGTTGTCCCAGAGCAAAAATTGCCTTAATGTCGATTTACTTATATCCTATGGCAAAAAAAAAAAATACTGGTTTCTCAATCTTTCCCCTTCTTTCCTTTTCCCTTTACATAGAATCCCAGTTGAGGGGATTCCACATCCCAGGCTCCCTTTGAGCCCAGGGAGTACATTGTAGTCTGAGATAGAGGCGCAGGTAAGCATCTCTGAAGGAAGAGGGGAGAAGGGCATACATAGCTTACCTTTCTCCCCTTCTCCCACTGTCTGTCTGGGACCCAAATATAGTGGGTGGGCTCCGAGGTGGTCTCAAGGAAGGCAGCTACCTGCTAAGGATGGCAGAGCCCAAAGGTAGACAGAGCAGCCTCTGTCCCAGATATCTACAGACTTGTCACGTGATTGGCTCAGACTTCATGAATGTGAGCTAACGCTAAGGGGGTTTGTTTTGTTTTGTTGTTTTGTTTTTTTCCCCCAGTCGTGGGACTTGAACTCTGGGCCTGGGCGCTGTCCCTCCACTCTTCAGCTCAAGGCAAGTGCTCTACTGCTGAGCCACAGCAGCATTTCCAATTTTCTAGTAGTTTACTGAAGATAAAACCCAGCCTGCTGGCTTTGAACTGTGACCCTCAGATCTCAGCCTCCTGAGTAGCCAGGATTACAGGCATGAGCCACCTGTGCCCGGCTTAACTCTAAGGTTTGATCTTGTTTAACCACTACCATTTCTAGGCCCTCTTGCTAGCAGCTGAGGATGAGATCCAACTGGTACACATTATTGTTTGGCTGCTCCCACCAGAATAGAAGTTCCACAAACCTTGGAACCTTGTCTGGCTCACAACTGTATCCTCAGACCCTGGTACATTCTATTTGTTGTGAGCAAATGAATGAATGAATGAATGAGTAAATACTAAAAACAATAGCAGAAGTCCTTCTGCCCAACTCCTAGCTTTATTATTAGGCCCTTAGTAAGCAGCATGGTGTTGATCCCTTTTGATGACTGCCCAATGGCCTAAGTATTTATGTGGCAAAAGCAGTCTTAATTTCCAAATGTCAGCTGTAAAAACATCATTCAGTTCCTGGAGGGATAGGAGTACAGATTTATTTGTTCATACCTTTAGGTTTAACATTAGGATTTTTAGGATATCTTCCCCTTGCACTACACCAAAATGTAACTCCACTCTTTCCACAATATGCTCATGACAAATGGAACAGTTCTGTGTTTCTACCCTGGAAATGCAATGGCAGTTTAAAGAGTCTATGGACTCTGGCTAGTGAAGACAGAGTGGGTCCAGGAAGTTGTGGTGACATGAGATACACAACTTGCTGGAAATCAGTAGCAGTGATTTCCACCAGGAAAGGAAGCGTGGTGCAGTTAGAAACATGCTGGAGTTAATAATGACCCAAGTTCCAGTCGGAGCATAAGGTGTAGTGGTTGTATGACCTGGAGCAAGACCTCTACTTCTTGATTTCCAAAACTGAGATAACCTCTTTTCTACTGTAGTAGTGAGACTCAGAGGAGATAACATATGAGGAAGTGAACTGTGATGTTTTTGCATAAGGTCCTCTATGTATTTATGATATTGTAAGAACCTTAGGGGTTGGCTAACCCAACCCCTCATCATATAGATCTGAGTAGTGACAGAAAGTCAAGATATCCTAGGTTACAGAGTAAAGAAGTGACCCAATGAGGTCTTGAATTCTCAGACCATCATTTTTCCTACCATGCCACCCTACTTGTTAGTGGGTAACAATGGTACTCTTGATATCATCCCTTTGGTTGTGCCTCATACTTTCCCTTGTCCTTCTTATGGTGTTATGTGGCAGGGAAGGTCATTCCATTTAAACAGTACAATTCAGATGCAAGGTGTTGTCAATCTGCAGCCCCTTCCACAATCTGTATTGCGGCTACCATGTGCCAAACTCTGCTCCACAGAGGACACAGAAGTCAGCAAAACACACAGGAAGTCCTGTTCTGGGAGCCTAGCTTCCTCTCAATCAATCACTCACACACACACACACACACACACACACACACACACACACACACACACACACACACACACACACACACACACACACACACACACACACCAGATGTTTTATGTTATAGAGAAAAACAGGATTTGTGAGAGAGGAGTGGTAGTATTATCCTAAATTGAAGTGTCAAGAAGATCTCTCTGATTAGATTCCTTCTAAGCAAGATCTGATGGAGCAGGTACGTGAGTCACATAGGCATCTTGGGGGAAGAGCTCCAGGTGGAAGGAAGAGCAGCTGTTAAGACCCTGCAAATGCTTTTGGCCTTTTCAAAGAGCAAATAAACCAGCACAAGTGCAGCCACTTGATGATGGAAGGAAAGAGTCTGAGGATCAGGAACGAGCAAATGACAAATCACATAGGAT